AATGTGCATCCTTAATTTTCCTCCTCTGGGAAGGTCATAGTGTCTCTGAGGTGAATAACAAACACTGTTAGTGTATGGTCAGCAGATGCTGTCTTCATGGAGACTGCAGGGAAGAGTGAACGGCCACCATCACTGACTGTCGTGGCTGTTCTTTTGTGTTACATACTCCTCCCCTTCATTATGCATACTGGTTAATGTGTTTTTCATCTCTTTTGTGTTTACTCAGCAGCTGGTGCCTCTCTGGGAAGGGACGAGCTGTCTTAAAGGACAGAAATGGGGACAGATTTTACTTACATTGCTAACATCTCTCCCTTCTCATTTTTTAGTATCTTTGCCACACTACCTACCCAGACAGGCTGCCGGGAAACTCAGACTGACATGGGCAAAAAGGGTTGCATGCTGGTTGGCAAGGAGCTGTATCAGTTCACAGGGCAAGATACCCCTCTTCAGGATTATGCTATAATTATCCAACTTAAGCATCAAGATGAAGATTAAGTCATAAACTGACTACTGTCATAAAGATTCATTTGTTTTAATTGATCCTGGGGTTGTTCTGATTTTTTTTTAAATTTTTCTTTTTGGTAGGATGTTATTACATTTTTAGCTCCCCAAATCAGTAGATGTCTTACTAAACGTCTGTATATTCTCTATTGCTTTTGGAAGTCACTGGTAAGGCTGAGAGGTTTCATGAAGAAAGGAGAACTTACGAAACCAAGGAAATGGACAACTGTGTGCCACAGTGGCAGAAAACTTGTCCTGTGGCATGCTAACCACAGCATGAACAGTGGCTGTGTGCCTTGTGGAGGCAAAAATGTTAAACTTCCCTCCACTGTAGCATTAGACTGCCTTTGGATATGGTGGGAGTGTGTGTGTGTGTTGCAGGCCTATGTCACAGATGTTGTCACCAGGCATACCTTGTCTCATAGGAGATGATATTTAGTCTAATTTTCTCCCGGACTCTGCACTGGCCAGGTTCCATTTTAGAGCAGAAAGGGGTAAATGTGCTGCTCACACTGATGGCTGGCATGTGTTAGAAAAGCAGTCTTCTGTCCTCTTCATCTTAACGCTAAACTGTTCCCCAGTAGCTGACAAAGGCAGCGTGGAGGTTTGATTTGCTGAGATGGACAATTATTGCCTGCTTTTGAGAGAGCAGGGGCTCTAATAGCTACAGGAAGCCAATAGCTCTTCACAAAACACCTTTGATGTTCTGGGCTGAGCTGTTGTTGGTAATGGTGCTAATTTTAGCTCTTGAGGGAAGTGTTATTTTTTTATATGGGACCAGAATGTTTTTAGGAAAAAAAATGAAGATTTTTTTTTTTTCCCAGCTCCTGTCTCACTGCTACAGATACCAGTAGAGAAAAGAGAGACAAGTTCTTTGGTGTTTCCAAGAGCAGAGTAAAAGAACATAGATGTGATGATTATGTTTAGTCTTTTGGTGGTCTTAGATCTCCCATCTACTGTGATTCTTCCTGTAGGACAGTGTGTTTTATTACTGCATGTGCTATAAAGGAGCTTTAGTACATGTCAAAACCAAGAGAATTTTTGCCTCAGCACTACAGTGAGGCAATGGCAGTAAAATTCCTGTCCAAAATTACATGTGCTCTGAAGAAAACATTGTCCTGTAGAATCCCTTCAATTGTCCTGACTGTCAATGCAGAACCAGTCCCAGACATTGTAGCTTTAAGTGCTTCTCTCTTCACAGGTTTTGTGAAGTGTTGAAGATGACTCTCCCAAAAGTGCAATATATACTGTGCACCCTCCTCGCCACGTGCCACATGTTACTGGTGTGTTTTATTCACTTGAGACTCCCAGAGCCATCCAGTACTAGTGCCATCTGGTGTCACTGCATGACCTCTTATTTCCTTGCTGAGATTATAACAATCCTCAGAACTTCATTCAGGAGTATCCTGACAGCAGGATTTCTTACACTGAAGGAAGAGTTCTCTTCAGAAAAAAACTGAACACACGAGTAGTGCATCAAGTACTTGAAAAAAGCCATTTTCTTTTAAACGCCTTGTATTTTATTAACTGTTTTGAGGGGACTTACATTATGTTGATAGGGACATAAGTCCACGAGCAAAAAAAATCCCTCAGATGTCAGCATATAGAAATAAATGTTTTGTAGTGGTGAGAACAGGTCCTTGAGACTGAGAAGATCAGAGTTACATTTCTGTCTCTACCAGTATTACCGTGAACTTCAGTAGATCAATGAGTTGAACTGATTTGATTAAATAGAATAGAATTTGTGCCCAAGTTGTGTTTTTCCTAGGCAAGAATTTAGAGCTGGGTTTTTCATATTTTCCTTTTCTAGATCTGCTTGCATAAAAATTTGTTCATGCATTTATTATGGAATTAATTAATTTGGAGGTACTATCATGGGGCATTTATTCGATTCTTGTTAAGAAGATCAAAACACACTTTTGAGCCACAGACTTGGATTCTTAGTGTGAAAAATGTTCCTCCTGGTTACAAAGAAATGGTTTTGCAAACTAATGGAGCCTGAGTTTCTACTTCTGGTACATATTAACTATATTTTCTGAGAACAAAGCAATTTGTGTAATTACTCCACATTCCTTCCACAGCTAGAACTCTGTATGACTCCTTACTTCAATATTATTCCCATATTCCTGTGCTTACTCCAGTTATATCTTTTACAGGAATACTACTGCAAGAGTTCTTTAGAATACTCTAGAGAATATTTTCTTGCTTGTAAGGTTTTAGCTCATCCCTATAGTTTGATTATTAGTTTTGTTATTAGCTTACTGGAGTCTCTCTTTATTTACTTGTTATTCATATATTCTGGAAAGACCTGAAAGACGTAAGCAGCACTGTGATCCTGTAGTGGGGAACATCCTACAGACTGAAAGAAAGAAAATCTCAGATGAAGAGGGCTTAAAGATATAGAAATTAAGTAGATGTAAAAAAGGAGAATAAAATAGAGAAAATGAGCCAAGGTTTCAGGAGAAACAAAGTAAGATGTAATCTGTCTAAAATTCCATGTAACTTAGGCTGTTGGTGGCTGAAATGCGTGAGTGCAAAGCAGAAACTTAAACCGTCTCCTTTTCACTTGTATTCCATCCAAGTCCCAAACGCCTGATGGTCCTAAGAAATGCTGGTCCAAGGGTGATGGGTCGTACGTCTTCTGCCAGGCACCCTGCTGTAGCTGGTGTGGAGGGTCAGCCCTGGAGCTTCTCATGGACATGAGCCAGATACACATCAGCACAGCCTGTCGAACATTACCTGCATGGCACCAGTAGTGTTTTCCTGCAGATACCTTGGCAGAGAGGTGCACGTGGTGGGTAGCACGATGGTCACTCTGCAGGTCAGTTTGGTAAAGGTGTTCTGTACCTGTACCAGAGATGAAGACGTCAAAGTGGATAGGGAGTGGAGGTGGCTGCTGTCACTGCAGCAAGTGGAAGGAAGAAGTGCTTTGTAGAAGAGAGGAAATAACGAGACTGAAAGAAATTGGGGAAAAAAATAGCGTAGCACTTTTAACAGAAGATATACCACAGAGATTCTCTTCGCAGAGTGAAGCAACAAGCCTGCCAGATAGCATCACACTTGTAGTCTCTCAGACCAGGTTTGCATTTCTCTGTAGCGCTGCTGTCGCTGGTCACAGCAGCTGCGAGCTGAGTGCTTTGGGGTCCCCTGCACTACGGCATGCATGAATGCTCCAGATAAGATATTGAGGGGGAACTAATGGTTTCCAGGTTTTTTTTTTTTTCCCTGGGAGCAGCTGTACTCTGACAAACAGGCTCCTACACTCTCTTGAAGAGAGCACCTCAAAACAGAGGCACCCGTACTTTGTAGTTGCTTTCAAAAATCATTAGCACGCCTTGTAGAAAACAGAATAGGGTTTCCTGATCAAAACACAAAACTACCAACATATTCTGTGTCTTTTCGTGCCTTTTGCTTCATCTTGATTATTTTTTTTTCATATTTGAAAGATACAATCCAAAAGCATATTATGTCAGATGCCTAAAACGACAGTGCTATGCATCATGCAGGTGACTGCCGGCTTCTGAAAAAGCAGTAATTGTAATGCCTTTCCCTCTTTGCAGTAAATGGACATAAATGCTCAGATGGCTGGGTACATTATGCTAGGTAGATTATTCATACATTTGCTGGTAGGGAATAGAAATAGAGAAGTGTTGCTATTTTTTAAAAAAAGCACTGAATATCTTCTTCATAGTCCTCTAACCAACAGTATTGCAGTAATATGATATAGCTGAATTTGGCAAGGCACTCATAGGTAAGTTCCTCTTCAGGGCAGAGTGACAGTGAGAATTTAAGGGATGTTTGAATTGTTTTTCTAATTTTGCATACAATTATTGACATTGTGCAATACTGAATACATTCAGTGCACATTCAGTAGGGCTTACTTCGCTATTGGTGTGACTTCTGTAAAACTAAGGGGGGGAATTTTTTGAGTAAGGTCTGCTGAATTTGATTCGAAAGGGGTATATTTTATTTGCAGAAAAAAAGAGGCAAATATTCATTTTGATTTTATTCCTTTATCACTTGGTTATACTTAAAGTTTCCGTTAGTTTTGGAGTGCTAGTGAGCACTTCTGATTTGTTCTCTTTTTTTAATCATTATTTGAGAAACATACCTTTCTCCTCAGAAGGAAATTGCCCTACCCTCAGAGCAGAGTTCATCTTGTCTGAAATAGCCATGTGCAGACCAGGTGTTGGGTCTAAGTACCCTATTTCCAACTCTTTTCATAGTCAGTGAAGACAGATGAGCACTTCTGAAGTAATTTGTCTCTGAAATCTGTCTCAGGATACCAGGAATTACACACTGAAAATATATCCATTCAGTGTAGAGAGTCGAAATAATGATGTTTGTCTAGGTACCAACCCTAGCTAAAAGGAGATGGGGTGATAGTCAATTCTTGATGCTATGTCAGTGGGTTGGCAATGAAGAAGCAGTGTTTGACAGAGTGGAGTGTGATACTGTGGGATGTCCTGTGGATTTACAGTCTTAATTTCCAATTTCAGGGAGGAGAACATTGCTATTATCAGGGAGAAATTCGAGGAAATCCAGTATCATTTGTTGCCTTGTCAACATGCCATGGATTACAGTAAGTCTGCTGTTTTGTTTTTACTGGCCTTTGCTTGTTAGTCTTTTAAGCAAAATAAGGCTGTTTATGGTAAAGTGAGTGCTATTTATTTTCCTACTAGTCACCAGTATTAAGTACTCAACAATCTTTAGAAAAAATAAGTTTAATGTGAATCTGGCAAAAACCATGGTTTGTTTTCAGAATTCACTGACAAAGCACAGAAGTTTCTTTTCTTTTTTTTTCTTTTTTTTTTTTTTTTTTAAACTGAAGACATAGAACGGTGGCCAGGTATTGTTTTAAGATAATTTATTACAGAGATAGAAGAGTAAAGGTAACAGAAAACGTCCTGTTCTACAAGAATAAAAAAGACTACCAGTATTGACATGAGCCATTTGGAAATTGTGTTCTTTTCTTGTTGCTACAGTGATGTATTTTATCTCTCTTTTCTACTCTCTTTACAAAGGAAAGTGTCAGTTTAGAGTTTCTCTTGTTCTATCCATTTTTTTCACAGAATTGCTGGTCTTAAGCTGTGTGCATGGGATAATACCTTTGGTATAGTAAGATCTTGTAAAATCTGGAAGAAAGGATATAAAATTGTACAATACAATTTTTTTTAAAGACCGTCATTTTAGTGATAATGTAATTAAAGTGTCTGTCATCTGAAGGTTATATGGAGCTGTGTGTTGATTGTACAGCTTTTGGATCTGTCTACTTTTGGCACTATTGAAAGATGCTAGTAAGGTTTTCAGGGCAAACAAGTAATTTCAGTGTTGAATCTGGGAGTTATGGGATCTTGACACTTTTGATACTGAGATCAGCTTCGAAAGTCATGTCAGCGAGTGAGCCTGTGTGGAGATTACCCAAGCTCTGCCTTTGTCTGATGAAGCAGGGCTTAGCTGATGGAAAGATTCAGCATATTGTCTATCTCCAACTATTCTGTAGTTTTGGTATCAGCCATATAAGTAGGCATATTTAACTAATATCTTTCTTTTTATATTTGTATATTCTTTGTTAGGAAGGGGGAGAATGCATGCAGAAGACTTGTTATCCTTGCACTTGTCTGATTTACAGCTGTGATCTCTTTTATGATCAAGGTTGAGCAACTCGAGAAACCTGAGCCCAGTTTCAGTATGGACAGGGAGCCTAAAAATAGTAGCATCCTAATGCATCCCGAGCCACCTCATGGCTTCCATTAGCAGTGATCCATTAGGTCTTGGCCCCTGCTAACTCCTAGGAGAAAAAGCAGAAAGGAAGGAGAGGCTGCGTATGGCCTTTAATGCCCTCCTTTTGTGGTTTTGTTCTTAACTGACCCTTCTGCTGCTCAGTATTCTTAAATTGCCCGATATTCAAATTGGTCCCTTTTAACACAGTGAGGTGATGAAAGATGTATTTTTTTTTCCACTGTATAATTCAGCTCTCCCTGGAGAGGTGTCTTTTTTATTTTTTTTACTTTTTCTGATACAATAAAGTTTCAGCAGAGTTACACTTCACACAAGATGCAATGTGAAGCTTACTGTAGCAGGCTGATAATTCCAGCACTCAGTGCGATAAAGTAATGTTTTCCTGAGCTGTACTAAACTCACATTCTCTGACACTGCATTTCCATCATTACAACTAGCTCCTCCGCAGTCAATTTTAAATGCTGAGTGATTACTAGAAACTCACACTGGCAATCCAAGCTCCTTAGCTCCAACCACAGTTTGGAGAGTCTCACTGGAATAAGGAAAGCTGGGGAGAGTTAAGGTCTGCAGGGCAGCAACTTTGCTTTCATGAATTTTAGGAAGTGCATAAGACAGAACAGATGCCTTTAATAGAATAACAAGCTTCATATTCCCAAAGTTCATGCTAATCTCTCTTACTTATTCGTACCCCTAGATCTTGGCCAGTAACAGCAGAAGTGAGAAAATCTTGTGTTCTTTTAATCAAAAATTAGGAGTTCTTCTGTTGGTAGTGTCTATGTTGTGATCTTCCTTTTATTAGTTAAATTAATCAGGTGACTGGCTGACAGAATGCATAAAATTATTATTTTCTTCTCTTCTTAACGGCTTTGCTAATGAAAAATGTATCTCTGCAACCTTAACTCCAAGTGAACTATTTTGTTTGGATTTTTTTGTTGTTGTTTTTTGTGGGATACGCAGTAACCACAGTTTCCTACGAGTTAACACAAAAAACTTTGAATGCAAAACACACCGGTTGCTGGGATATGAATAAGTTACAGGCAGGCAGGACTCGCAGTCCTGTGTTGGGAGGCGAGTTGCACAGACACCAGGCTGCTCTGTGATTTTGCTGCCCACTGGTGGTGAATATAAAACCTGCTATTGCTGCAAACTAGACTCAAGACTACAAATATGTTTGAAGAATGTACATAATCAAAATTCTCGGTTTTGAAATGGCCCATGGTTTGCTATTGCTTTCTCTCAAATGCATCCGTGAGCATGTGATTTGTTCACAGAGCACTGGAATATTGAAGTCGGTTGAAAAAGAGCTGTGAATGCTTTGAGTGGGCAAGTCAGAACTGTAGGTCAGCTGTGACTATTATTTTTGTCACTGTTGAGTGACTTGATCAGAGGTCAGCGCTGCTGGGTGCCACAGTTGCACGAGAAGCCATTTGCTCATGGCACTTTGTCTTGCAGACTGCGCTTAAGCAAAATTGCAATTAGAGGGAAGTTTTGCCTGATTAAGAGCTGCGGGATGTTCCTAAATCTCATCTTATTCCCAGGAAAAGAGGCTTCAGCAGGTTCTAGAATATTTATCTTAAGCTGTGTAGACAGTATTTACTTGTAAAGAACAGGCACAGGTAATTTGAAGAGTGAAACAACTCTAAATTGTAGATATCTCAGGATTACAGTTGATATATGTCAGTCACTAACCCAAGCTGCTGCTGTGAATGCTACATGGTTAACCCTGTAAGTGAATGATATTAAAAGTGGTATGCTCATGAATAGCTCTAGTGGTTTGCAAACTTAATATATGCTTATATTTCTTAATAGACAGGAAAAGAATGTCAGTGTTTTTACTGACTTTATCTGCTGCTGTGCAGAACCAAAATCAATTTTGCTGATTAAAAAAAACCACCAAAAAAACCCCCAAAATGCGTAAGAAAAAAGAACAGAATCTGGTTTGTTGTTTGTAATTCCAGTGGGGTTTTTTTGATGCCTAAAAGTTTGCTAAAGAGTAATCTAAATAAATAACTAATCCTGCTTTCATGCTGCTGTTGTGTACTGTGTGCCAAGTTTGAGCTTGCAGCTCATATTTATGGCTAAGCTTAAAGCCCTTAGTAGGAGCACTTTGAAAGGGACATGCTGATATAGCCTAATCCCAACTGTGCGTGTATGTCACTGCAATAAAGCCAGAATTATTAACAAAAACCTGCTGATTTTGTTGAAGATCAGAATGGTAGTGATAAAAGAAATGCCCTTTGGTTTTATGCTCTTACAGGGTAATGTCTGTATCAACGCTTTCTTTTAAGGTGGAATTTAGCCACACTTGTGCATCCTGCATTATGTTAAAGACTAAACCTCGTTAACACTCTTTACCTAAGTAAAATTAAGGTAACTCTTAATAGAAAACATCCTTACAGGAATGGACCTCACTTTGCTGTACATTCAACTGGTAATGCTGAAGCATCTGCTGTTACTGTCACAGACTATCTTCATCTGTTTAGAGAGCCTTAGCAGTTCAGTTTGCTCTTCATTTAGAGTTGAACTGTGTGTTGGAATTTAATGTGGAAAATAGATGATTGTGTGTGGGCAAGCGAAGTGACAGGTTTGCTGAGATACATAGCAGTGTGCTTATCATGAATGACCTCCAGATTTCTGTGGTTAAGATTTTATGCCATTAAGAAAGACCATGAGTACTTTGCCAGAACCATGGGTATGGCAGAAGCCTTGGTCTTCTGTATCTCTTTTTACCACAACCCATTGAAAGCCTCTCTGATGGGGTTTCCTTTTTCCTTATCAGGAACATCATGTAATGTCCATATTGATATGACAATGCATATAGCCATTAACATTTCCTAGAAATATAAACTTAAAATAACTCAATTTAAAAAGACCATATGTCATAATTATTATTGCTGAAATGCCCCAAACAGCCCACTATGCCCAAAAGATACCATTGTGCCCTTTGTACTTGGTACTATATGAATTTACTGAGGAAAGAGTTAATCAAAACCATTAAAACCTAAGGATCAATTCCATTTGATAATATTTTTATTTGGGGGAAAGCTGTGTGCATGTTCCAAATACGTGTGTTCCTAAAGACAGGTCCCTTATTTACCTGTTGCAGGTAGAACTCTGTTGCATGGGAGTGGGGGCTCTGAACTGGATTTTCAGTTGGCTAAGTTAGCCAATTTTTGTGGTGTTTATATGTGTTGTAGAGAAGCTTTGGGGAAGAAAGAAGTGTCTATATCACCACAGGAGAGAATATTTTTCTTTCTGAAGCGAAGAAACACTCAGAATTTACGTTCAGTTCCTGAAACCATTTTTAACTGCTTCCTTTTCTAAATATTTAATTTTTTAAAATATATTAACTTCTTAAACTTACTTCCATGTTGCACTAGTATGTTTTGATTAAATCAGTGTTTGCGTTTCTGGCTTTTGACAGTGGGATGTTCTATGATGGAAATCACACCTACCTTATTGAGCCAGATGAAAACTACACTTCTGATGTAAGTAGAACTTACAGTAGTCCTGCTGTGTTGTTTGTTGAATATAGACATTCATGGGAACAGAGTAGGCATAAGGCTCATCCCCTCATTCTCAACTCATTTACCTCATATGTGAAGCCACATCATCACAGACAAAAGCAGACATCCAAAAATTAGGCAATGGTATGGGTCTATGTGTGTACTCAGTAACATCTGAATGTAGAGCTGTGCAGCACCAGATGGTGACGAGGGTGCCTAGGAGCCAGCAGGAGAAGCGTGAGGAGGGTGCCCTGTCCCCTTCCCTGGCACCTCCCGCTCTGGGTTCCTTACAGCCCTCTCCTCCTGGTTCAGCCTTGACTCCCATTCAGCAGCTCCTGTGACTCTCATTGATGTTCCCTGGGCGGCTCTCTTAAGTCTAGCTCTAAGCAGGCTCAGCCACTCTTTTTTATGTACTCAGACATTTCAAATAAAGGATGATTAACTGTGGCATTAGCAACCACAGCACAATTGGGAAGAGTGTAGAGTAATAGTGCCTTGCAACTTACATGTTCACGAGGGTGGGTGTTGGATAACAAGGGCCTTTGGAACTCTCTATGTAATGCTCGTGAGATGGATTAGTTTATCCAGTTTTAATACATGCAGTTATTTACTATTTCAGGATGACTTCCATTTCCACTCTGTCTACAAATCCAAGTTGTTTGAGTTTCCTTTGGATGACCTGCCATCTGGTATGATTTTTTTAATGTTTGTGACTTACTGTTTTAGTCTAAGGCCAAATATGTTAACCGTATTTGATAGGCACTCTTCTGATCATGTATTTATTTGTATATCTCTTCTTTTTCCTGATTAAATAAAAAAGCACTGAAAAAAAAATGTGAAAGGACTGGAAAAGAACCTGAAATGCTGAAAACCCCCTGAATCCAATGAATCAGACCTCTCCTAGACCTTCATGTTGTGATGTATGTTTCTCTTAATAAGTCATGCGGCCTGTGGACTGCATTATGTGCTATTAGTTGTGGAAAGGAAAGGACTGATGTAGCCTAAAGATGATGAAAATAAACCAGTGATTGATAAGCCTTCATGGACTTTTCCTGTTTTGAGATACAGAGTGAGTACCATGGTGTGAGCTTAAGCCTGGGAGAGAAGAATTTGCTAAATGTCGTTGCTGTTCAGTGACTCTCTCATCACCAGTCCGTTCAGCGTCTCTCACAGTACTGATTGTAGTGCGGGTCATGCGTTTCAGAACCAATGAATTTGGAGGCAGAAGTGGTTTCAAGTGCTTGTAGTAATGAATCCCCACAAACAGTTTATATTGTATATGGAAGGAGAAGAGGTTTTTAAAAAAATGGGTTTTCATCTGAGAAGCTGGTGTGTTAATTGAAGCTAAAATTGCAGTCTTCGTGGCATATCCCCATTCTGTCAAGGATGTGCCAGTTTTACAGATGCGTTTTCCTACTCTACAAAATATATCCTAGATAAATAAAACTGGCCTTCATAGACACACTCATTTTGGTGGAAACCACTTCTAGACTAATTTCTTCAGGAGGGTTACAGATGTCCGGTCATCTTGTTACAAACTATTTGTCCTATGGTAATAGCTGGATCTGGTTTCTTATGGGGCTGGGTGCTGCACGTAGATGGATCCTTCCCTGGGGCACAGTGTGTGCAGGTTTGCTAGCAAAGTAGAATCATTTGGAAAGCTAATGATAAAAAACAAGGGAAATTGCTACAACTTGGTCACCTTGATTTTGGTTCTGAAGAAGGAAGCTTTCTGAGTCTGAACAAAACAGCTTGGTGCCTCACGTCCTTCCCTGATGGCTCTCTAGGGAAGATGGAGGGGCAGCACAAACAGCTCATGCAGTGCAAGTTGTCGACATCTGTATCATGAAGGTTCCTATGTATGTGCACCTCAGGCACCTACCATGTTTACTCCCTGTACTTGTGGAGATGGTAGTGTAATGAAAACTATTTATTGAACATAAGGTCAAATAATAAAGTGCATCTTTATCACACTTTCTTGAGGATATGTAATTTGAAAGGTTGGAAATAATGCAACCACTGCTGAGTTTAAAATAAATCTTCTGTCTCAGGCTGTTCAAGTAGGAGACTGCTAGAGCTGGTACTTAGTAGGTATCTACAGCTGTCTTACAAGGTTTCCTAGTTGTGAAATTTTATGTTTTCAAGATTTTGATTCAGCTTTTAAAATGATGAAAAGGAATTAATTGCAAGTATAATCCACCACTTTCACCTCCACCAAAGCTTATTGAGTTTCAAAAAACCTGTCAAAGTAGGGCCTCAGATTTTTTCACAAAAATTGAGATAGGCTTGTACAATTCTGATTTTACTGCAGATAACAAGTGAATAGTTGCTGGCCTTGCTGTACAAAGCCCGGCATATGCCATAATGGAAGGTGTTGCCATTAGATTGAATTAGAATCACAAGATTGTGGAAAAGGTCAAAAAGGAGATAATTGTGGAGTGCTACTGATCTTAATTATACAAATATTTGTAATGTGGATAAGAGAGATAAGGTGCTAATATTTTATTGCTTTATGTTTAGGATCCCATATATGGAGAAATATACTTTAACTCACAGTCTGCTGTCCCACATGCTCAATCTTGTCTTTGTAAAGCCGTTTTGAAAGGTTTTCCTGAGGCTTGTAGTGAAAGTTTCAGTAGATGTAATAGATTATATCCTCATTAGGAATCCATAATTTTTCTTTGTGATTATTCAATTTATCTGTCTTTAAGTCATCTTCCTTGCATAGCCAAGGCTCCAGAGGATGAGAGCAGTCTGCACCACCTTCTGCTTCCCCACCCTTTTCCCTGTGCCCACAGAAACTCTTCCGTTCATCCCCCAACCAGCGGCACACCCTGCCCCACCTTTTCCTTCCCTCCTTGCATGTGCTGCCCCACTGGTGTCTCTGCTTGGCACTGCCTCTTCCCGGCCGGTCTGGAGAGTGCTGACTGTTGTCTTTTTTTTTTTTTTTTTTTTTTTTTTGTTTTCTTTAAACAATATTTGCAATTAATTGCTATTAGTATTGTTGTGATCTGTTTATTTTTAAGTACCACAGCAGAATCATCATTGCTACTAGCAAGCACTGTGCTAGGTTATATCATCAGTATTTCTTATTACTCTCACAATATATCAATTTGCCCAGCCTAAGGAGATCTTCCTTGATGTCTAGATTTTCTTCTTACCTTGAAAAGGGTCTGTGTGTAAGCTAAGTTTTCCAGTCAGCACTGTGTTAGAAATGGACTGGATGTATCATCAGCTTCAATATTGATTTTAGAAAGGAAAAAAAAAAAAGAAATAATAGGGATTACTCTCTATCAGTGATAGTAAAAGCCCACACTGTTACACCAGTTTGATAGCAATATATTTTTTACATTCTTTTTCTCCTTGGGTATTAAAAAAAAGAATAAGAAAGCTATTCCAGAAAAGAATTAATAGTACTGTACTTTGCAATGGTGTGAGGAGGTAATGAGGACTTTAAATTAAGTAAAGCTTGGATGGATGACTTGGCATGCTTAGAGTATTTCACTTTATAATTTGTTAAATGGTATTTTTTGTCACAATCAGTATTGAGACATACAGTGCCCTAGCATGGTCTTAGGCAACAATATATTATTGAAGATGTTGTTTTTCAAATAATGCATTACAGATGACCTTTTCTTTTGAGGTCACTTGAAAAACATGTAGATATGGCAGTTAGGGACATGGTTTAGTGGGACCTGGCAGTATTAGTTTATGGTTGGACTCGATAATATTAAAAGGTCTTTTCCTGTGATTCTATGAATCCTCATTACACTTTTTTGAGGTAATATATCCCCATCAAAATTTCCTGTAGGCTTTTTCAGCTATCTATATTTCCTGTGATTTGGCTGATCCTGTTCTTTTGCCTGAGGGTCTCTGGCTGGAAATGCACCCTGCGTGAATTCATCCAGCTTGTGAATTATAGCACGGTGTTAATGTCTGTTAATGTGTTAACATTAATGGCTGCGTTGTTCACCTCTAGAGATGGCTGACTTCCGATAGTGGGTAAAACAATCACGTTTGCTGGTAAAGTTATCTGATATACGTATTGTAAATTATTATTTTATTGATTGAAAAGTTCTATTTTTACTGGTTTCATTAACCATGGTATAAAAGCTAAAATGACAAGTTAAGAGCCAGTTGTGTGGCCCTAGAACACAGGCTAAATTAATCAACATATGTAAAGCATAATCAAAAACACATTTGTAAAAGAATTTTCAAGATGTAGTTTCTCATCGTGGCGAGCTCTAGAAACTGCAGGTCTTTAAGCAATAAACAGAGACCCTTGGGTATGATTTAATTTATTTTAGGTCCTTTTTGTAAAGAAAATCTTCACGTGCGCTGGTGTAACCATGAAAACATTTTTAAGCAAAGGGCCTATGATTGTCCAGGCCCTTCTATAAAAAGATATCTGCAAACTTCGCATACCAAAATGACAGTGTAATCCTCAAGATTTAGCCAAGGCAATACCAGTTAGTTGTGCTTTGCTTTCCTGGTTTGTCTGATTAATAACTAGCCATGCCTGGTTAAGAGTAGCACTTGCACCTAGTAACATTTTGTCAGATGGGCTATTCAGCTTCGAGTTTTAAGGTTTTGCTGATATGGCAGCCATGTCAAATTCCTATCAGCATTGTTTTTAATCCTATAGTTTGAACTTCATGCAGAAATTGCACAGTTAATGTACAGCATGTGGGAGCTGGAGCTCTGAGAAACTTTCCTGGCTCACCAGTGAAGCTGAACTGTTCAGGACTTTGTAATACAACAAAAAGTTGCACACAAAGGTTTGTGAACTTGAAGCCCCTTAATTTACACAGCTGCTATAGTACTGTCTACTTCTCTGCAGGACTGGTAAAATCACTCTGGAATAGTGAAGCAGTTTTCAGTTCCTGGAGACTGAAAGAATGTCCAAAAGCTGCAGAAAACACAGAAGAGGGAAAGTAGTCAAGGGAAAATGACACATTACAAAATAAGCAACTGCAAACATTTAATTTATGTGTCTCGAAAGATCTTGAGGTTATGTGAATAGTAAACATGTTTATACAAGGCAAGGAAAGGTTTTCTGTTGTATAGGGAAAAGTGAGGCAGGGACTATGAATCTAAAATTCAAGATGGAAAAATACTTCTTGGACATTTAAAAGGGTGAGAGCAAGTGTTGTCTTCTGTTTAGTTTACAATGTGTCCCTTTCCATGAGCAGCTATTAATAGATTTGGTGAAAGGGATTTGGCAAAAGAATAAACTACTTGGTGCTTATGATTAAAGTTTAAGAAGTTAAAGACACAGTGGGATTAGCAGGGAGGAATATTGTATTGAAGGTGAGCATTGCCAAAGTCTCATATGGTTTCTCTGAACCCTAACATATTTTACTTTGTGAGTATAATCGTCTTAAAGCATTAATTCTGCCTTCCATGCTCTTCTTATTAATTTAGGTAGCTATTGCAAGAGCTCCGTGAATGTCTGCTGAATTCCCGAAAATGTGATTCCCTCCTAGGAAACACTGTGCTAATAATATTACATGGCCAGTGTTGGTGAAGTTTTGGCATAGAACATCTGCTGCGCTTTCTGAAGCGTGACACCCACAGATCAGCTGTTTCAGCAGACCCAGATTATCACTAGTAGAGTTTTTAATAAGAACCCTATTACTGGGAAGCATCTGTAACGTTGCCTCCTTTCTAGCTGGAAACTCAAAAAACGGCTTCTTGCCACATCTGATGTGTGGACAAATGCTGTACTACTGTCACGTGGCATCAGGGTCACTAATTGTTGAGCTATTTTCTTGTAAATACTCAATGAATTTGCCTGTCTTTTCTGCTTAGAGTTCTGGCAAACGAATACTACGTCACCGAAGTTTGTCGTAAAGCCAAGACATAAAAGAAGTAAAAGGCAGGTATGTGCTACTATGCTTGTTTATAAGTAATAAGCCATCAAGTTTGCTTTGTGTCTGCTGAATTAAGTTGTCCAGATGGAATCCTGATGTTGCTAATGGTTTAGCATGAGGTCTCTATATCAATACTACTATTACAAAAAGAGGTATCTAATGTTGTCAAAACATTGTTGGGTTCTCTTGGACATTGCCTACCTGAAGAGTTATAAAATTGTTAAACACTGCTGAATTGAAAATGAAAAAGTAGCTAAAATATTTTGTCTCATTTTGGTATAGAGTTTTATTCAAAACTCCCAATTAATGAAACATTTACAAGTATTTTTTGTGTTGCAATGGTGACAAGTGGTTACTTTATCTCACTTGACTTTGGTTTAAAAATAAATATTCTAAACTGAGGGTTCATTCCGTTTCTTAAAGTGGGGGAGCCACTAAGTGCAGGTGTTTGTCTGTACCTGGAAAGATAGCAGCAATTCTTTGCATTTTAGGAACAGAGCTCAAATGATGGTACAGGTCTAACGAGGGCCTGGTCAGAGGGCCTAAACAGTGCAGGCAAAAATGAAATACTGAGAGCAGTGGGAGGAGAAGATGATTTTAACATCTCTAACTAATGCAAGCCTCTAAGAGGCGAAAGAGAAGTGAGGAAGACATTGGAGAAAATCCAGTAGTCATTCTTGCGGGTCTTGCTTTATATCAGGTGGTTTGCTGCCTTTCTATAAACTAGCCATTACTCTGCATTTTTAATCATAATGATGTAATAAGTCTCCTGGAAAACCCAGGAGAACAAGGACACCATGAAGAAGCACAGTTGTAAATGTTTCTAAATGCAAAGTAAGCGTAACACAGAGGTCATTACTGCGTTCACTGTGTGAACCAAGCAGTGTGCAAATAAATAATGGAATTCTTACGGAGATTTTTCATTAAGAATGCAGGAGGGGTTCCTTTCTCTGTAGAAAAAGAAAAGCTTATAGCTGACGCAAGACATTTTTAGGGATATAGGCCCCACTGAGGATTCTTTCTTTAAAAAAAATCTAAACTTGGCATTACATGGGTTGAAAGACTTGATTCCATTGTGTAAAATCATATAAATGTCCTGGTGGAGGTGAAAGAATTTTTTAAAATGATGAAACTAAGCCCCAAAAGTTTCATCAATATCTGAGACCAGAATTAAGACAATAGAAAAAATGTATGCATAAGAAGTTTGGTTTCTGAAGCCATTTCTAGTTATCAGTTATACACTCTCTGTACTCTTATTAGACTCTTACAGTTGTACTCTCTCTGTAGGTTCGACGGATTCCACGTAAAGTTGAAGAGGAAACAAAATACATTGAGTTAATGATTGTAAATGATCATCTAATGGTAAGACTGACACACTTCAGCATCTTACAATTATCATTAACGTCAAATTTATTAACTGTCCATAAAGGGTAACAACAAAGAACAATATACGGCCAGAATAAATTCAGTATGCCCTTAAGAGAAGAGATTATAGTCTCGTTAACCGTTGATGATGAAGTTGCTTTTGAATTTTGTCAAGGTAATTTCACCAAGAGTGCAACCAGTCCTGAGCATCAGAAACAAGGGCCATAGATTAAAGCTTTGTGTCATAAAGTAGCTATTGTCAGTATGACTTAAGCTAATGATTTTCTTTCTCTTAGTTGCAGCCACTCAGCAATCAATAATGCAGTTACTGCAATTGTGCAGCAGCTGTTGACAATGGGGAGATTAATAGTGACTAGATTTTTTTGATAATGTCCAAATCAATACAGTGAAAATTATTTTGTTAAACTCGTATACTTTCTCTGGGAGTACATAAATAGGCTTTTTAATGTAGTGGAAAGAGGCATAATAAAGATTAGTGTATTGAAGAAAAACCAGGCTCATTCAAGTAGGAAAAGGCACAGATTTATGTCAGTGAAGATGATTAATAATTAATGAAAGGAATATCAAAGGAAATGGTGAATTCTCCATCACTTGCAGTCTTCAAATCCAGACAGTATATTTCTGGAATATGTGGTGGTGTCAAACAGAAACAATAGGATTTGATCTTGAAGTAACTGGATAAAGTTCAGAGGACTGGTGGTGCCCCTCCGACTGCTAACGTTACCTGATTTTATGGTCCTTTATGGCTTTCAAATCAAAATATATCACATTTTATCTGCCATTTCTGTAACTTGCACCTTCTTTAAAGCAATATCCAAATTGGCAAAAATAGACATCAGAGTGTACAAGGAATGTGCCACTGTTCTTGGACAGCGTACTCCTCCATCAGCTCAGTTTGGTGAGCATAGCAATAAATTCTTGGATTAAAATGGACAATATGGGATTAGAATACCCTAAATTGGTCAAAGAAGCTGAATAATTTCCTCCAAGGAGAAGGAAGTGTTGTATGCTCTGGGATCCTCCCATTCCCCATGGCCTGGGCTGGCATGCGTGTGTATTTGGATTACTTTCTGTCCGCGCTGTGGATGCGGCACTCTGGGTGAACTCAGTGTGGAGCTGAAACCCCGTGGAGTTGGAGCTGTTTTCAGCATTTACCCTCCCCAGGGGCTCTCAGAGGGAGCCAGCTGCATCCCGCCAGCCCCTCTGGCTGCTCACTGCTGCGAGGGGTGTGATGCCCTCCTCTCTGCCCTCTCAGCTGCTTGTCCGACCATTGCTTCCAGTTGGGATATAAAGCTTTTAAAACCCAAACATTGAAATGGGCTCATAAATTAGTATACTGAAAACATTTCCATAGGCCTCCAGTGTCTCTAAGCATCCTAAAGTTTGAGGTTGTAGTTGCAAATGGAGACTTGAGTAGTACACTTATTTCCCTTCATTCCTGTGCTTCATTTTCCGTTTATTTTGTAGCTTTTTCATTTCATCCTTTCTGCCATTTTTAGCTTCATGCTCCTGTCCTTGTGTGTTTTTAGTAAGTG